TCAATTCGAAAATTCATTCCTCTCACCCTACCTGCGACTAAGGGATGAAATTTATGCCAACGTGTTGAGCATTTAATACTCAATAAGTGACACAAATTTTATCCCTTAGGGCCAGTTAGGGAGGGAGGAGTGCATTTTTTAAAGTGCGAAGAGATGGAAAAAAAAATTCAATTCGAAAATTCATTCCTCTCACCCTACCTGCGACTAAGGGATGAAATTTATGCCAACGTGTTGAGCATTTAATACTCAATAAGTGACACAAATTTTATCCCTTAGGGCCAGTTAGGGAGGGAGGAGTGCATTTTTTAAAGTGCGAAGAGATGGAAAAAAAAATTCAATTCGAAAATTCATTCCTCTCACCCTACCTGCGACTAAGGGATGAAATTTATGCCAACGTGTTGAGCATTTAATACTCAATAAGTGACACAAATTTTATCCCTTAGGGCCAGTTAGGGAGGGAGGAGTGCATTTTTTAAAGTGCGAAGAGATGGAAAAAAAAATTCAATTCGAAAATTCATTCCTCTCACCCTACCTGCGACTAAGGGATGAAATTTATGCCAACGTGTTGAGCATTTAATACTCAATAAGTGACACAAATTTTATCCCTTAGGGCCAGTTAGGGAGGGAGGAGTGCATTTTTTAAAGTGCGAAGAGATGGAAAAAAAAATTCAATTCGAAAATTCATTCCTCTCACCCTACCTGCGACTAAGGGATGAAATTTATGCCAACGTGTTGAGCATTTAATACTCAATAAGTGACACAAATTTTATCCCTTAGGGCCAGTTAGGGAGGGAGGAGTGCATTTTTTAAAGTGCGAAGAGATGGAAAAAAAAATTCAATTCGAAAATTCATTCCTCTCACCCTACCTGCGACTAAGGGATGAAATTTATGCCAACGTGTTGAGCATTTAATACTCAATAAGTGACACAAATTTTATCCCTTAGGGCCAGTTAGGGAGGGAGGAGTGCATTTTTTAAAGTGCGAAGAGATGGAAAAAAAAATTCAATTCGAAAATTCATTCCTCTCACCCTACCTGCGACTAAGGGATGAAATTTATGCCAACGTGTTGAGCATTTAATACTCAATAAGTGACACAAATTTTATCCCTTAGGGCCAGTTAGGGAGGGAGGAGTGCATTTTTTAAAGTGCGAAGAGATGGAAAAAAAAATTCAATTCGAAAATTCATTCCTCTCACCCTACCTGCGACTAAGGGATGAAATTTATGCCAACGTGTTGAGCATTTAATACTCAATAAGTGACACAAATTTTATCCCTTAGGGCCAGTTAGGGAGGGAGGAGTGCATTTTTTAAAGTGCGAAGAGATGGAAAAAAAAATTCAATTCGAAAATTCATTCCTCTCACCCTACCTGCGACTAAGGGATGAAATTTATGCCAACGTGTTGAGCATTTAATACTCAATAAGTGACACAAATTTTATCCCTTAGGGCCAGTTAGGGAGGGAGGAGTGCATTTTTTAAAGTGCGAAGAGATGGAAAAAAAAATTCAATTCGAAAATTCATTCCTCTCACCCTACCTGCGACTAAGGGATGAAATTTATGCCAACGTGTTGAGCATTTAATACTCAATAAGTGACACAAATTTTATCCCTTAGGGCCAGTTAGGGAGGGAGGAGTGCATTTTTTAAAGTGCGAAGAGATGGAAAAAAAAATTCAATTCGAAAATTCATTCCTCTCACCCTACCTGCGACTAAGGGATGAAATTTATGCCAACGTGTTGAGCATTTAATACTCAATAAGTGACACAAATTTTATCCCTTAGGGCCAGTTAGGGAGGGAGGAGTGCATTTTTTAAAGTGCGAAGAGATGGAAAAAAAAATTCAATTCGAAAATTCATTCCTCTCACCCTACCTGCGACTAAGGGATGAAATTTATGCCAACGTGTTGAGCATTTAATACTCAATAAGTGACACAAGTTTCATTCCTTAGCTATAATTCGGGGGGAGGGATGAATTTTCAACCGAGACGCGCGTTCCCCGCGCCACGCGACGCTGTAACCATTGGAAA